TCCATCCATCCATCCATCCATCCATCCATCCATCCATCCATCCATCCATCCATCCATCCATCCATCCATCCATCCATCCATCCATCCATCCATCCTGGAGCCACTGCGTGAATGATCCCAGACGAGGTTTTCAGGCATTTTCTGGTCTCTGTTTCAGAGTTCCAGACGTGCCTGAAGCGTCGTAGGCGCCTAGACCACCGTGGACTCTAAGTCCCGGTAGCCACCGCGCGGGGTCGCGCCGTCGCCGTGCCCTTCCCGCCGTGACGTCATCCAGGCGCGACCCCACGTGTCCCGCCGCCGCCATGGTGCAGCTGGGTGAGTGCGGCGGTCTCGGAGCGGCCCTGCTCCGCCGGACCCAGCTCGCCTCGCCCCGGCCGTGACCGCCCCGCACTTTCCCCGCAGGGAGCCGCCTCCTGAGGGGCCGCGGCGGCCACGTCGTCATCCGCTTCGCGCTCGGAGGGTGCACCAACCGGCCGTTCTTCCGCATCGTGGCGGCCAACAGCAGGCGCGCCCGCGACGGGAAGTACCTGGAGCAGCTGGGCTGCCTCGACCCGCTGCCCAACGCGCACGGCGAGAAGGTGGCGGGGCTCAACCTGGAGCGGCTGCGCTACTGGCTGGGCTGCGGCGCGCAGCTCTCCCGGCCCGCCGAGAAGCTGCTGGGTAGGCCGGGGGCGGGCGCGGGGCTGGGGGCGGGCGGGCCGGGCTCGCTGCCGCTCTCACCGCGTCTCACCGGGCAGGGCTGGCGGGGTTCCTGCCGCTCCATCCAATGACGGTGACCGGCGCCGAGAGGCTGCGCCAGCGGCGGCAGCGCGAGCAGCAGCCCGAGCCTGCACCGGCGGACGGCTCGGCCGAGCCCGGCAGCGGCACCGGGCCCTGACACGGGCCGGGAGGGTCCCGAGCGGCCCGGGGCCGTTCCGGCCCGTCCACACACGAGGATTTCTGCCCTGTCCGTGCATCCGACCCCATTAAAAGATTACCTCTGCACTCCGCACCGTCCATGTGCTGCTTTCTCCAGACTCGTCTCAATCCACGTTCTCTGTTGCCACATTTGGTGCACAGAAGAGGTTTTGCTGCTCTGGTGCACCTGTGGGAGCATTCCAGGAGAAGTTCCCCAGGCAGGCCACTGGCTCCAAGTGCTCTGCCTGCAGTAGTGGCACGTCCTCTGGCAGCTGCCTTTGTTTTGACTTCGGCTGTGATTTACTGCCACAGAGCAGTGCACAGACAGATGCAAATGGAAATGCAGCTGGTTTTCTGTTTACTTTCTCCAGAGACGTACTGGGCCTGTTTGTTCATTTAAAAGCAAAAGAGAAAGATTTCAGTCTTATGTAAAGAGGAACTGGGGGAGTGAGTTACAAGTCCTACTGTCAAATCCCATATTTCATCCTGTTCCAAGAGACAAGAAACCCACCAAAGTCTCTCTCCTGTTTTAGAGGCACCCCTAAGCTTTTTGCGGTTTCCTTTGGTGCAATTCTTAGATGATTCTACAAATTCAGGCAAAGACAGGTTTCCAGTGTTCCATCTTCATAAAGCTGTTAGTGTAACCAGCCCAACAGAGGATGAGTTGAAAAAACACTTTAAGAAAAGGGCCTGGCTTGCTCTCACAATACTGACAAAGAGTGGTTTTATTTCTGCTCATGGATGAAAGATGAGGTGATTAAAAGCTATTCTTGGAAGTAACTGAGGCTATGGAAAGTGGTTTTGTTTTTCTGTTACACCTCCCTCTTCCATGCATTTGGTACCCACCTTTCAAAAGATTATTTGATACTTTCCTCTAGAGCCATGAAGAGCCCCTCTTGCTTAAGGGGGCTGTAGATAATAATGGAGTGCTTAGGGATGTAGGTTCAAGGGTGTCTTGCTGTAAACACTTCACTAAATACTTCACAGCAAGAGCTTGGGCAAAAGGAGCAAACATTTTCCTTTCTTGGTAGGAAGAGAAGCATTGTTCTGACAGAGTTGTATTCCATCCCTTCTTCCCCAAAGAGTTGTGTGGGCCAAAAAAAAAAAAAAAGCAGCAAATCAAAAATAACTGAAAGGAATAGGCATAAAGCAGAAGCAGAGTAGGGTTTTATCAGGCTGGCACACAGCAAAAGCCAGGCTTGAAAGCTGTGGGTGAATCTCAAACCTCCAGCACAGTAATTCTTCACAGCACTGACAGTAATTCTGTACATTCCTCATGTTTAAGTAGCTCTTGTAAGCTTAGTTAGTACTATACTCACACAACCCAAAATCTTCATTTCTGCTCTAATGCTGTGATTTCCTCTGCTGACAGTTCCATTGGCTATTGCAACAAGATATGTTATCCTTTTTTGAGAGAAAGCTGTCCCTGGATCCTAGAAAAAGCAAGAACAAAACAAACACACACAGCTTACATACATGGCTGATAATGCATTTCCCCCACTGCAGACTCTCCCCAGCCTGCAGACTGCTACTCTGGGCACATCTTGCATTTGAGTTCTTCTCATTAATGCTCTTCATTGCCTACTTTCTCCCTGCTCCCTGGACTTCCATATTCCACACAGGATGAAGCAAGCTCCCCTTTGTTTACTGTTAACCCTCTTTGGGCCTTGGACTGTGCTGTTGCCTTACAGATGTAAAGAGAACCTGGCCACCACTGTGGCTGGGGGCATGAGGCAGCAAGCCGCAATTACCCAAAATTCTCATTATTCCATGCATTTACCATTTCTGCGTGGCATATATGAGACAGTGTTGACAAGGCTTTCAACATTAAAAACTTTTAGTAGAACACTGCCCAGAACCTTCAAACACAGCAAGCACTGCAATACCACTTAAGGGTTCTAATGAAACCTCCAGGCTGCCCCAGTGCTGCTGCCCTGCAGCTTTTGCTGCTGTCTTTTGTGCTGGAGCCCAAATTTGACAACTGACCCTGCCACAGAAGCAGCAGCCTGGTGCACAGGAACAGCAATGGAAAGTTGCTGCAGCCATTTTCCCAGAGAACATCCACACAAACCTCCCCTGCAGAAAGCTGGGCTAAATGAATAATTAGGAAATAACAACACAGGTTTGGAAAATGTCTGTTTAGATAAACAGATGCTGGAGATCTGCCTTGGCATTTCAGCCCCCGGTACTCAAAGAATTCTCAAGATGTGTATTGGACTTACTCAATCCATTGGGTGTTGTTATGATACTGGCAAATAAAACTTTCCTCTCTTCCTGAGGCTGTCTTCCAGTCTGTGGGAGGGAGAACACACATTAAGAAAGCTGCATTTCACACAAATTCCTTTTTGAATAAAGTGTATATCCTATAGAGTGTAAGATGCTTAATTACTCATTTGTAGAAAGTAAGACTAGAGAATTATTTTAAATACTTCCCAATATAGTTTATATATACTTAGATACATATTAGATTTATAGATATAAATTTTATTCTGTTTGATTCTTGAAAAGATTTATTTTTCCAACCAAAGAACAGCAGAAGTTCTGAAAACATGAGGTCTTTCTGAGTGACACAGCAAAGGATCAGTGAGCTGCAGACATGCTGAAATGGTTACAGGTATCTTAATTACAAATATGTGAAAACCAGTTAGGTCTTTTCTCCATCCTTCTCCCCATTTCCCTGCTTCTGTACATGTGTAATAAATACATTTACAAACATCCACAAATAATTGCCGTGAAGCAACCTTTAATGATATGGACTAAATCAAAATTAACCTTTAGGAATCACTGAAAAACAGCACAGCATAAAATCATTTTCCTGCCTAAACTCATGCATCTTTTTTAAATCAATAACTTGCAAATTTAAACAGAATATCTGAAGCCTTTGGATTCCAGAAAGGAAACATCATGTTCCAGCTCACAGTTCACCAGTGACCACATACAGTAATTTCTGTAAAATACAAAATATCTGACAAAGGAAGATAATAAGTAAGTAAGCAATGCCTCTTTTTAAAGTTATTTCTAAGGATTTGGTGCAACTTTTAGCTCTGCATGATGGTGACAGGCTCTGTTTTTTTCCCAGACACCACTAGTATTGCTCAAAGCCCCAAATTAACACACACTGTTGTTGATTTAAAGTACTATGTATGTACCAGTGCATAAATACATATGCAAAATAAAGTCCAGATCCCATAAAACAGAAAAATGTAATATAGAGTCTATTGGGCAAGGCATACAGGCATAGCAATAGTTTTATAACTACATAAACATCGTTGATATTATTTACAGAGGGAAATGGAGACAAACATTCTAATCAAATACATTGATTTATGAATTTTCTGAAGATCTTAACTTAAAACAAAATGATCTGCAACTCCAGCTACCTGGAAAAGTGCTCACAATCCATTTAGTGCAATAACGCTGGCTACAAAACTTAAGGGGAGGAAAAAATTTAAGAACAAATACCACATTAGCTAGTGGAACCAAGCAAAAAATAAAGTAATTTTTGAGTTTAAAAATTTGAGAAGGAAGATAAATTAATATTACAAATCAGACTAACAAGAAAAGAATAATTCACCAAAGTCAAGTCTTTAGATTGTCAGAAGTGCCAAATACTATTGTTTCTCATGCTAATTTGTCCCAGCTTTGTCCTGAACCTTCTTGGAGACAGCTGTCCCATAATTAAGGAAATAGCACAGATATTCCTGCAGATGTGACACCATGTAAGCCCAAAGAAAGAAATGAGAGATGAATGTACTCATCAGTCTGACAGCTAACAGTGTTTTATCTCTGAGTGCTTGACTTCATAATTTCAGCAGTATTCCTCTGTTTAAGTCAATACTGAGTAATATGCAACTTGCTTCTAAAATATAATAATTGAGAGCAGATGATAAAAATGAGGGGTTCTTACAAGTTATGCATTATGCTTTCAGCACTGGATTACAGTAAGCCACAACAACTAAAGATTACACATATGATTTCACCTTGGCATCATAGATCAGAATCAACTTAGGTAAACAGTGAAGTACAACCCATTTAAAAGGAGAGACTCTCCAGAGAAAACCCTTCTTCTGGATCTAGGGACCAAATATAATCTCTACAGGGATGCCACGCACAGCATATGTGAACACCAAAATGCCCACCAGCCTTGGCAGAACTTGGCTGCCTACTCAAATACGGAGGCAGACTGACAGGGGCTTTAGAAATAGTTTTATTAATGACTTAAATTAACTCCTGGCCTTAACTAGAACTTGTAAAAATTGTCACACACCACCTCCTAAAATCAAAATAATGAAGAAACCTCTCAGGTAATGAAACCCAAAGTCCTTTTACTGGTTTCACTGAGATGTGGAAGATGCAGCTGTAATTGACAAGTGCTTAGTCACTGATCCCCAGACTTCAGAATGTCCCAAGGTAAAATTGTATAAACAAGAATGATGTGATGCAGGCTTCCATACAAATTATTTTTCTTATGACTAAAATTCTTGAGAGTAACCTTCTGCCCAAGAGAGGTTGATGGGAAAAGACCTTTCTCCCCAAAACCAGGTTATGGACAACTGCTAAATTGGATTATGGACAAATGATCCTGCTAAGTCATCACAAACTCCTGCAGTCTTAATTAAACTCTAATGAGGAGGAAAATATGCACTTATTTGCACATATTGGCAAACATTACCAAGGACCACAGCCAGGACCTCCAGAGTGGGGTGTGGGAGCCAGGCTGCAGTGCTGTCAGCCCACAGAGGTGTCTTGTAGCAGTTCTGCTGGTGGGAGCTCTGTGCACTCAGAAGCCCGTGGCACCTGACAGAGGACTTACATGACCCAAGCAAGGCCTGCTGCTCTCAGCCTTCCCAAAGTTTTGAAAAGCACCCTCCAGAGCCAGGCCTTCCACGGGCAGAGGCTGCAGGTTGGACCTGCAGCTCCCAAAGGCCTCACAGGAGTCACCAGTGCCCTTGGTGACCAGGGCTGCTCTGCCTGGCCAGGAGGTGGCACCTTCTGTCCCCAGACTGGCCCGTCACCATTCCCGCGGTGGCAGTCCCTGCAGCAGCGAGAGAAGGAGGTTGTCCTGTCCAGGCACCAGACTTGCAGGTTCCTGCCTCGTGCTGGACCATGGCAGTCGCCCCCGGGCTAACAGCACCACGAGGCAGCTGGAGGGCACTGCGGCCCCAGGAGCACAGGCAGGGAAGGACGGGCGGTGCCAGGCACCGCTGACTCACCCCGCACCTTCCCGCAGGCAGGGGAAAGCTCAGCAAAGCCAGCGCAGACCTTTCTTTCCATGTGCCAAGCCCACTGCTGCCATCCCAGGGGTGATAGCCCGTTCTGTCGTGACAGGGAGGACAAGGGTGAGGCAAAGAGGCAGCAGAGGCCGTGGCAGCTTCTCCCGTTTATTCGTTCCGCGCACGGGGCAGGAGCGGACGCTGCTCCTCGACGGGTGGC